GCACTTCAAGCAGAGCCTGCGGCAGTCCCTGAGTGCTTCCTGCGTGTTACCTCGTTCTGATTCTCCGTGGCCGTGCAGTCGGTCCAGTTCTCCCTAATAATTGTGTGCTCGGAGTAGAGCAGGCTGAGTGGAGGCGTGTGGTCCAGTGGTTAGGAGGGCAGCTGGGAGGACTGAGGGCGACAGCCCGCACAGCGCTGAGCTCTGTTCTGGCGGCTCAGTATGCACTACCCGCCACGCCCTGGGGGTGCACAGCTGGTACACCAAGAGCCAGAACTGCAACCCAGATTAGTCTGACCCAAGCCCATGCCCTCCTTTCGCCCATGCCACAGGAAGTACCGGTGCCCCACAGTTCGCTACTCCCCAGAAAACCCCCTCCCCGGGGCCCCAGCTCTCTCAGATCCTGAGTGAAGCTGATCTCGGCACTTCCCTGGGCCGAGGTGGCAGAGCCATACACCCCTGGCTCTTTCCCCAGCAGCTTCCGCCAGAAAACGCCAGGAACACAGCATAGAAATGGCCCCTCCTCTGCCCTGGAGGGGCTGGTAACTCTTCTTGGTCCCAGCCTGCATGAGGCCCCCGTACTGAGCCTCAGTCTGGTCGGGGCCCCTACAACAGCAAGCACTTCTCTCTTAGCACCTCTTAGCACCTTCAGAGACAGCATCATTCCCACCCCCCGCCCCCCATACCACTGGGACTAGACGCCCAGAGAGAGTGAGTCATTCGCCCCAGGTCACACAGCTAATGAGTGGCAGATAGGACTGGCACCTGGGTCGACTTGACTCCTCCCCTGCATGGCCACAGGGACCCACCTACCTGTCCCGGGAAGTCAAGGCCAGCCCCACCCCCTTTTCCCATGACTCCCAAGGTGCCCTCCTCTGGGCACAGGGACTTCTGGGAACCTGACAAGTACTACAGCATAACTTGGCACCACTCAGAGCACCAGAGGCCAGCGTGTCCTCCAAGGGAAGCCGGCTGGGAAGGGAGCGCTTCCTCCAGAGGAAGGCCAGTGCTGCTGCCCGGGCAGGGCCACAGGCAGGGCGGAGCCTGCGAGCTGCCAGCCTGGGCAGCCTCTGCTGGGCCGAGGCGCTGCCTTCCTAAGTGTCCAGATGCTCCGAGTCCGCCCGCTGGACACGGAGCCCACCCAAGGCTCTCCTCTCGGTGTTCCGTTCAGTCTGCACAGCCGTCTGTGCGGCAGGCGCTGCCACCTCCCTTTCACGAAGGAGGAGGCGGAGGCAGGTGACTTGCCCAGTCAGTGCTGGGAAGAGGCAGGGCCAAGATTTGGACTCTGTCCAGTCTGGCTTTAAAAGGAAGTTCCTTCCCCAACTCTCTCTCTCCTTCTCTCTCTCTGAGCAGTTTGCAGTGTGTTTTCCTGGCAGCGTCTATCCTGGGAGGCGTGAGAAGACGAATGGGGTACAGGGACAGTGGGCCTGAGCATCCCTGCACCCCTTCTTGTTCTCTCTGGGGCTGGACTGGAGGCAGTGTCCGCCAGGCCACCCTGCTGTGAGGGCCCTGGGCAGGTCCTTCAGCTCTGGGGCCTCTGAGTTATGTCTGCTGCAGGCCTCCCAGCCCCCAGGTCCGCAGACGGGAGCTAAGCAGGGGGCAGGAATCAATGCCCAAGAAGGAGCTGGCTGCCCAGGCAGGGCAGAGGCAGCCCCAGAGGTCAAGGCTGCCCTTTGCAGGGGGCACGCTGGTCAGGGCAAGAGCTGACCCTGCAGCTGTCGGCACTGGCCAAAGATGGAGAGGGGATGGGAGCTCTGTGCTGGCCTCTCCTAATATAGCGCCGCTGGCAGCTATTTTGAGGCTGGGAGGACAGAGGACATTTTATCAGCTCTGACACATGGGCTTGAGGCTGAGCAGGGCCATGGCGAGGCTGCTCAGGGGCCCTGGCTCTGCCTGGATCCCCAGGGTCTGGGCCAAAGGATGAGCAGAGCCAGGCCAGCTGGGGCCCAGGCTCCCCTGTCAGAGCCCACCGTGGTCAGATCTGAGACGCTGGCAGAGTTTGGGGCAAGGAGGCTACATGCACTCTTCCGCCCTCACCCCTCCAGGCCTCAGATAGCGGCAGGATCTGCTGGGGCGAGGAATTTGTGCTCAAAGGGATGAATGCAGGCAATGCTCCCCCAAGGAGAGGGTGCTCCGGAGGCTCACTCAGAGGAGAGGGCCTCGGGCCTCTGTGGTACCCGAGACGGGCTGCCTGCCTGAGGCTTTCCTGCCATCAGCCTTGGAGCCAGACTTCTGAACCTCCTTGCTCCACGCCCTGCCTGTTGCCCATCCAGGGCCTTTAGGAGCCGTCACTGGAGCCCGCACAGACCCCCACCCCTGTGCCCAGGAGTGGCCACGGCTGCCTGCCCCTCCCCTCAGAGGGAGGGCAGGTCCCTGGGGCTGTGGGTCACCCCACCTCACATACACCCTAGCACCATGCAACTCCTGCCCAGGGAGCAGAGCTCCCAGAGCCCCCACTGAACAAGGGCACGTCCAGAGCTGCTGTCTGGCCAGGAGGTGCCTGGGCCTTGGCAGCGGCAGCTAAGGGTCTCCGCCAGGCTGTGTGGGGGCTGCATGTACATGTGCCCTTAAAGATGGACCAGAACCTTCTTGGCAAAGCTTTGGGTACTAGGGACCCACCGAGGAAAGCCGCTGTGGGACTCAGCTCTGCGCCCCTCTCGGCACTCTCTGTGGCTCTGCCCCGCCGAGGGCCCTGGCCCTGGCCCTGGCCGAGCCTCCTGGCCCAGCCTCCCTGACAGCCCTCTTCCCTGCTCTTTCTCTCCTCCCAGGTGATAGCCAACTCTCCAGCCAAGTTAGTATCGAAGGAAAGCATGCGTGTGCTCTTGCGTGCATATCCCAGCATGCGTCGGTCTGGACCACGTGTGCCTGTGCCAGCATGTGTCCGTGTGTGTGCATGCGTGCGAGGGGGTGCATTTATCTCGAGTGCGTCTGCATGTGTGAAGCCGCGAGTGTGGAGGGAAGCGCAGGGAGGGGTGCTAGGGCTCGGCCTGACACCCTGCGTGCAGTTCTCCATCTCGGGCAGCTGCCCAAGGCCAGCAGGCGGCTCTGGGGCGGGGGAGCGCCGCCTGACCTGGGTTCTTCCTGAGCCTGAAGATCTCTGTCCTGGTGGGACCCTCAGGGGGCTGCCCCTGACCTTGTGTTTGCCTGGGGAGCACCTGCCTGTTGAGGGGAGAGCCCTGTTGGGTAGACTGGTGGCCACACAGCAGGCGGGACATGAGGGGGCCTGAGCAGAGCCCTGCTCTGAGGAAGAAGCTCGCCCGAAGCATCCGGAGGAGCAGAACGCTGGCCACCAGGGGGCGGCTGGCAGGATGAGGTCCGCGGCAGAGGAACGAGGCCACCATCTCCATGGTTGCCCAGCGGGGCTGCTTTTCGCCTTTGGCCGTCCTGGACTCTGCTTGGGCTGCTGCTGCCTGGCCCCGTGGCCCAGAGCCTGTGCCACACTCCCAAGCCCCTCTCCCCAACCCATTTTGTCTCTGCTTCCCGGCTGGTGTGGTGAGAGCTTCCAACGCTGGCGCCCCCTGCTGGCCCTGGGCGGTGGCTCGCCTGAGCGGGGACCTCCAGGGATGGGGGAAGCCCAGATGGGCAAGAACAGCCTCTGCAGAGGGCTTTGGGGAGGTGTGAGGATTTCCGACCTGACCCGGATCAGACTTTGGGAGGTCTCTCTTGACACCTCCACAGCCCTCCCTGGATGGCCCAGGTAACTCCACCTGTTGCCCTTCTCTCCTCCCACCTCCCTCCCTGCACCCCCTGCTCCCCCTAGTGCGGACTACCAGGAGCGCTTCAACCCCAATGCCCTGAAGGACTCGGCCCTGTCCACCCACAAGCCCATCGAGGTGAAGGGGCTGGGCGGCAAGGCCACCATCATCCACGCACAGTACAACACGCCCATCAGCATGTACTCCCAGGACGCCATCATGGACGCCATTGCTGGGCAGGCCCAGGCCCAGGGCAGTGACTTCAGTGGGTAAGCGCCTCCCTCCGCAGTGGCTCATGGCTCACCACCTCAGCTGCTGGCTGGGCCTCATCCGGCGAGGCTGAGGGTGCCAGGCTGCCGGCACCAGCAGAGACCTTAGGCATCAAGACCAGCTTTCCTCCTTGGCCTTGGCTTCCCGGGCACAGCCCAGGGGCCCAGAACATGGTGTCCTCTCCTCAGAATTAATCTCTGGGCCAGCTGTAGGAGAAGGGGAGAAACGCAGAGTATGGCGACTCCTCCACGTGCTGTCACAGCCTCTGCCTTTCCCGGGCCCCGTGGGGCTGGGTTAGAAAGAGACCTCTGGAATCTCGTTAACCTGAGTCACACTCTCATTCTGGATACCCCAGTCTTCCCTCACCGAGCCTCTCTGTGGAGGGAAGTTGCTGCATTCTTCCAAAGATGAGAGCGATTCAAATGTGTGACTGGCTTCTTGTGTAGGAAGGGCTGTGGAGCCTGGAGCCCCAGGCTGGGCTCCTGCTCCTCCTGGCTGCCCAGGCAGCCTGACCCCAGGGCCGAGGGACTGAGGGCATCGGGGTCCCTGGAATTTGCCTGTTCTCCACTTGAGGGCTAAATAGGGAAGAGTTGGCTGAAAATCATTTGTGGATGAAACTGCTAATAGTGCAAACATTAATGGGGACCTCTTCCTCTTTTTTAAAAAAAATATTTTTATTGATTTCAGAGAGGAAGGGAGAGGGACAGAGAGAGACATTAATGATGAGAAAGGATCATTGATCAGCTGCCTCCTGCACACCCCCTACTGGGGATCGAGCCTGCAACTCCAGCATGTGCCCTTGACTGGGAATTGAACCATGACCTCCTGGTTCACAGGTCGAGGCTCAACCACTGAGCCACACTGGCTGGGTGGGACCTCTTCCTCTTTTTGTCTTTCTGTCTGTCTCCCTTAGTTTCTCTTTCTCTTCCTTTTTCTGTGTGTGCTTCTGCCTCTTTTACTCTCTATTCTCTGCCTCTCTCTGTCTTTCTCTTGTCTCACACGCGCACACACAGAGTGACTATTTTCTGCCTGGGAATGACATGAGTGTTGATTTTCAGAACTGACTGACTATCTCTTTGGCCAACATCTTATCCCTGACTCAGTATCCCCAGCAACTCAAGGCAAAAAAAAAAGTCTTAAAATGATGTACTTTTTTTCTGAAACTAAGAAAAACAAATGTTGTAAGAGGGATAAAGGGGTTAAAAAGTCCCAGAAAACTCCAATAGTGTTTGACCTTTGCAGAACGCAGCCCTGCTCTGAGTGCAGGCTTCGGGGCAGAGAGGGGAGCCCGGCTGCGAGGCGGTGCTTCCTGGGGCCACCAGGGGGGGGGGGGGCGGAAGCCGCTCGCCCTGGAGCTGTGGGTCTCAAACTGGCCTGGCTCAGGCAGAACTCTAGACAGTGTTGATTTAATTCCATGGCTCGAAGCAGAAACCATGACAATGCAATTTTAAAAACACAACCTTTATCTCATGTGAACCCAGAAAAAACCTGCCTGGCTAAGCCGAAGAGGTGACAGGGGTTTCCTGCTCACACTTGTTTGCCCCAGAACGTGGCAGGTGTGTCCTTGGTGTGCTCCTAAGGGTGGCCGCCGTCGCCAAGGGGAAGCTCAGTGGCAGATAATGGAAGAACGACTCTGCAAAAGAACTTGATTTTCTGCGCTTGGGAAAAGAATGCTATTGTTTGGTCTTTTTAACATGATGCACCGTTGACCTTATCTAGTCTTCTGGAAGGACTGTTCCCATCTCCCTGCTACCTCTCCCAGCCCCGCCCTGCCCTGCCCTGCCCTGTGTGCCTGGGAAGCACCATGCACTCCCCTCCTCCTAACGCAGCCTGCGGGGCTGGTGTGCGTGGTAAGAGCTGCCCTCGGTGCGGTGCCTAAGGCGCTCCGTTTCTGCTGTGAATTTCCATGATGCCTTCCTCACTGACAGTTTTCTTTTTGTCTCTCTCTTCCTCCTTCATCCATCCCACTCCCATAACTCATTTCTGATCCCAACCCTGCTCCCCTGTGTGTGCGCCGCCCCTGCCATCCCCTGATGGACACACACTCACTGCTGGGCTTTCCTCTGCTTGGCAGGGCGTCGCCGCTGGCGTAAGTAGACCCCACAGTGTCTGTTCCGTCGTCCGTCTGTCTGGTTGTGGGACGGTGTGTGGGTTTGGTGGGCCGTGCCTGAGGACAGTGCCTCTGTGTTCTCCTCACGCCTACCTCACAGCCACATGACATGCCCTGCGGCCTGTACAGGCTTGTCTTTGAGGGTTTGCCCCGAATAATGTCACTATGGACACAGATGAGAGTTAAAAGCACTCATGCTGGCCCCAGGCTGGGGTCTCTGTGTTCTCCTTGCCATGCTTCGCGGGGCTCCCCCGACCTTTTCTGTCTGCACTGGGAGATTGTAGGCCTGCCGTTCAGCATCCACACTGGCCATTACTCAGGGCAGAGGGTGGTAAGGGGGCCTCTTAGAGGCCCCTCCCCAGACCCCAGAACCTAGACCTGAAGGAGCCAGCGCTTGCCAAGACTACCCAAGGGGGCCAACGATGAGTCAGGCTTGAGGGCAGTGTGAGTGGGGTCAATGCCCCAGGGTGACCTTAACTTGCGGTCTCTGGAGTGTTTTTGGTGGCAAGAAGGTCGTGCTGGGAGGGGCTCCAGAGAACAGCCTCAGACCCAGGGTCCCAGGATGTGGGGCCTGTTCTGCTCTCTGTGTCTCTTCCCCTGAGCCCCGGTCCTAACGAGGCGCTGAGTGCCCTCGCGGGCTCCCGGCTCTGCTGCAGGCTCGCCCGGTCTCCGCGCAGGTGGTAGGAAGGGGCCGAGGACGGAAGCCCCAGCGACAGGTTCCCAGCAGCCTGGAGCCCTGGGAGCTCAGGGAGGACGGGGAGCACCTCAGGGCACGTTCTGGGGAGACTGCAGCAAAGGCGTCCAGCTGCTTCCTGGCACAGATTTCTCTGTGGGCAGGCTCACAGGAGAGGCCTGGCCTGGGTTTGCACCCCTGGCCCACAGCACAGTCCACACTTCCTCCCGGTAGAACAAGGCCCCCTGATTGTGCCTTCCCATCGCCCGCCTCACCAAAGACAGTAGGCCCAGCCTCTGCTTTGAGACCCTTGGGACATCTGCCTGTGCTGGAAATGGCACCCCCAGCGAGACCCCACCCTCCTCTGTTCCTGGTCCGACGGGCTCCTCCCTGCCTGGACCCCGAGGGATTCACTGGTCTTCCCCATGGACCCCAACCTGTAGCTCCCTGGCCAGGGCACAGCCTTCAGGCAAGGAGGCAGCTCCGCCCGTCTCTGCCTCCTGTTGTCACCTGTCTTTACCTGCAGCTGTAGCCCACCCTGACCCAGACACAGGGTGCCAAGCCCAGAGGCTCATGGGAGACAAGATCAGTGCTGGAGGGCTCCTTGCCCAGAGGGTAGATGATGTGGGAACTGAGGAGGCCCTGGGGGTGCAGGGAGAGGCAGCCTGAGAGGCAGGCAGGGGGTGCTGACAGGGCCGGTGTCTGGGCTGGGCCTTTCTAGGCCTAGAGCGTCTGGGGTGTCTGAGGCCCAGTGCACAGAAGTGGCCTTCTGAGCCCTGTCACTGTGAGGTCTGATGGAAAGGACACGGCTGGGAGCCGGGAAGCCTGGCTCTGACTCTGTTGGGGCCCCACACGCTGTCACCGGGAGCTGGTCTTCTGGTCTCGCTGGAGCTGTTTCAGCATCAGCACGTGCCTGGGCTGGGCCGCTGGCTGGGGAGGCAGGCGTTAGTGCTGTGAGCTCCACCTGAGTCACGCAGGCTGGGCAGGGTGAGTGGGCACCCAGAAAGCTTTGGATCTACCCTGCCCTGCAGTCTGGGAGGCACTGAACCCAAGCGGCTCTGGGGGCCCTTTTGGCTCCAATATAGGATTAATTTATCCAACTACATTTTGAGCACCTACTATGTGCCAGGTCCTGGGAGTCTAAGGCAAGGGAAGACCACCAGGTCCCCCTCAATAGGCTGGGGCAGAGACTAGGAACCCTCCTGCAGCTCCACTCCCAGCACCCCCAGGGCAGAGCCTGCTATCTGCAGGTGATACCCCCCCCCCCATGGCCTCCTTGCTGTGTTTCTCATCCCCACCCCACCCCACCCTATTGTGCCTGCCTGTGTGTAGCCAAGTCACAGCCTTCAGTCCTCTCCTAAGGCAGTCACGGCACTGGGGGGAGTGGGGGGAGGGGCCCGATTGGCCTGTCCTCACTTAGCCCCAAACTCAGGGCCTGCTCAGGGCGCTGGAAATTACTTCTAGGAGATGTCTCCTGCCTCCTATCTCCTTAAAGGTGGGATGTCCTCAGGTCTGTGCCTGCAGCTTGCAGGGGGGCGGGGAGGGGGTGCTGGCTGGAGGACCTGCGCCTCCTGACCCGCTGTGAGAGGAATCACTGTCTAATTGTGACCACCCTGAGCACTGAGCACCCAGCTGACCCCTGCCCCAGGCTCTCAGAGGGCAGTGGGGAAAGGGCATGGTGGGTTCAGACAAGTAGGGGCCACCGCGGGGGGTGCCCGGGAGTCAGTGTGGGGGAGGGGAGGAGGTAGGGAGCAGGCCCCAGCCCAGCTCTCGCCCACCGGTCGCTCTGCATTGCAGGAGCCTTCCCGTTAAAGACCTCGCTGTGGACAGCGCCTCTCCCGTGTACCAGGCTGTGATTAAGAACCAGAACAAGCCGGAAGATGAGGCTGATGAGTGGGCCCGCCGCTCCTCCAACCTTCAGTCTCGCTCCTTCCGCATCCTGGCCCAGATGACAGGAACTGAATACAGTGAGTGGGGCTGGGGGCGGGCAGAAAGGGGAGGTGCTGCGGGGCCACGAGGGTCCTGGGTCCCACTCCACAGTCCACAGAAGCCAGGGAGTCAAGCCCCTGACCCCCTGAAGCTGAGCTGACCTTGAGATGAACAGCGGCCCTTGGAGCCCTTCTGGGCTCTGGGGCAGGCAAGTGACATGAGCCTTCTGCTCAGCGCCCTGACCAAACAATAGGCAGCAGGCTTGCATGGTGTTTCCAGGCAAAATGACTGCCCAGAGCTGGCCACGCCTCTGACCACTCGCAGCCAGCTGCCCTCTGCCCAGCACACAGCCTTTCCCTTCCTAGTTTATAGGCTGGGAGAGGTCATGTCCAGTCATGGGTAGGGACTCAGTGTCCACAGAGCTCTGGTAGCTTTTCTCTCTTGTGCTCCCGATTTTCCTCCTGACCAGCAACTTTCTACCCACAGTGCAAGACCCTGATGAAGAAGCTTTGCGAAGGTCAAGGTAAGCGCCTGGACTCAGGCTCTGTGGCCTTGCCCCTCCTAATCCCACCCCTCCCGGCAGCCCCCAGGTCACATGACTTATGGAAGGCACCTCTCAAGTTCATGTATTTGGAAACACCTGGCCCCCAAGGGGCTTCAGCAGATGCAGGGGCCTGTGTCCAGGTCAGTGAGGTGGGTGCCTGGAGCTGAGTCTCTATCCCCTGGGCCCAGGCGGAGGACTTGGGCTCTCCTGGTCTGTCCAGGGCCGGGGGCAGGGCTGCTTTGGCCTTTGCTAGGCTGTTGAGAATGAGGGCATCTCTCCCTGTGGGGCACCGAGCCAGCTGCCTTGCCTGCACACCCTGTGAGTCTGGAGGCTAGGCACAGGAAGCAGGCACCAGGAGGGCTGTGCTGGGCATGGGCGCTGAGCCCTGGACTCACTTGTCCAGACCGTGAGGTATCAGTTCTGTAAATTGCTCAAAATACAGCAGCTGCTGTAAGGAAGGACAAGCCCTGGGCATGAGGAGGAGCTTGTGCAGGACTAGGTATCTCAAGGTCAAGATATGGTTCTGAAACACTGGCAGGTCTGAGGCCACAGCCACTAACCTGCCACCTGTGGCCTGTCAGGTGCTCATGGACCATGGCATGAGGGGGCACACTGCCCAGGCACCCACTGGAACCCACTAGGGTCTTCCATGATGGGCATCGAGCCCAGTGTGACTGTGCTGTACTGTACTGTGGATGCAAATGTCACCTGCATGTTCTTCCTGAGAGAATCCGCCCTGGAAGTCCACCCTGCGTGGCTTCTGTGGGAGGCTGGGGCTCAGAGCTGCCTTCCACTCTGGGCCAAGCTTTCTGTCCTTGCTAACCTGCTGGCGTGGCCACAGGGTGGTGCGGGCGTGGAACTCGGGCCGCTGGAGTTGGTGTGGACTTGCTTTCTGAACCTGTTGCTGCTGATCCGAATGCTCCCACTCTTTGGCTGGGCTTCCAAGCCTAAAGGTCCCTCTAGGCCTGCTGACAGCAGCGTGCAGCTCCCATGGCGGGTCCTGCCTGTCAGTGCCTGTGACGTGCCATCTGCGCCTGGAATGAGATGATGTTTGATTTAGCTCAAGAGTTAGTATCTAGCTATATTTTTTAATTTTTTATTTATTGGGTTGAGGCGCGGGGGGTGGCGGGGGGTGGATGTTGTTCCACTTACTTAAATGCATTCATCTGTTGATTCTTGTATGTGCCCTGACTGGGGATTGAACCCACAACCTTGGCGTATGGGGATGATGCTCAAACCAACTGAGCTACCCGGCCAGGACCAGTATCCAGCTGTTTTAAGTGTGACTGAGCTGTCAGCTCACCCTGTCCTATGTCCCACTGCTCCTGTGTGCTGTTTCCGTGTTTGTCCCACCTCCCCTTTGAAGCCACCCACATACTAGTAGATGCGGGCGCTTAGCCTTACCTGAGACTTGATAAGCGCTTCACAGCACGCGCCCCCCCCCCCCCGCCCCCATACACACACACACACACAAAACAAACAGCTTTAAAGTCCCCAGGTTCCTTCCAACAAGAAGCTGGCAGGGGGGCCTGCTCTCCCTCCCATGAGGCAGCCCTGCCTCTGGCCCCTGCCCCCTCTGGTGTACTTCTGGCCACTCGCCGCTCCTCCCGCAGGCCACTCTCTGCTTGCACCGCATCAACTGGACGCCGTTCAGGAGGCAGGAGGGTACTGGTGGAGGCAGATTACAGGAACTCCTGTCTTTTGTCTTTCCCTGGGATATTTTTAGACACTGAGAAGTTATTGAGTGAGGAGACACAAAAGGCAGTATTTAGGGTGGCCCCAGGCCTCATTGTTGGCCCCATCCTGGCTTTCAGAAGCACCTGCTGAAGCTGGTCCTGCCTGGTTCTGTAGACAGCCTGCTCAGCCCCAGCAGCAGGCAGGCACCTCCCTGCAGGCGGGCAGTGCCGGGCGCCCAGCATCTCTGGGAGAGCAGCACCAACGGGCCTCCACCCGGAAGCCGAACCTCTAACCTCAGAGAAGTTGCCAGCCTCTCTGGGACTGTGGGAGGCAGGTCCCTGCGAGGCAGCCCTGATGGGGCTTAGTCCAGGCAGGGCCGGAATTGTGAGGAATTGGGATTCCTCTGGCGTAACCACCTCAGAGGACCCCAATGTGTAGAGATCCCTGGTCCCCACCTGGTGGCACAACTATCTCCAAGTCTCTGTGCTCACCTAATGCTCCCTGTAAAGGGCCTTCCTCTCCAAGTCCCCCAGGTGAAGGAATCAGGCTGATTGTAGTGATGAGCTCACAGGAGGTGAAGGGGAGGGTTGCCTTGCACACCCCTCCACAAGCAACGTGACCTCCCCCCAATCCCTTCTCCAAGCCCATTCGGGGTTCCTTTTCCTCTCCTCACCTGGCCCTCCCAACAGCCCAGGACTCCGAAGTGTCCTCCCTCCCCACAGGGTCCTCCCTCCCTGGGAGCACTCAGCTCCTCCGTGCACACCTGGCCCACTCCGGTGCCACCTGGCTCAGGGCCCTCCCTCAAAGGGAGCCCTCGTGAGGAGCAGTGGGCAGCTATCGGCAACGAAATTACCTGCATTTTGTGGACATGTTGGTCCTTGGTGCTCTGCCAGCCTAGCACGTTTGAAAGCCACAGCTGGAGAGACCAGGACAGCCCTTATGGGCGTCTGGGACCTCTCTCCCTTCCTTCCTCCCTCCCCTCTCCTTTTCCTTCTCTCCCCACTCCTGTCTGGCTGCCTGTGGATTTCCAAACGGCTCCAAGCAGAACAGGCTCCCTAGACTCAGGCGCTCCCTGGCTCCCTGCGCTGTCCTTGAGCTGATGCAGCGGCCGCAGGCCTGGCTGGGCAGTGGAGCTGGCTGGGCAGTGGAGCTGGCTGGGCAGTGCGGCCGGCTGGGCAGTGCGGCCGGCTGGGCAGTGCGGCCGGCTGGGCAGTGCGGCCGGCTGGGCAGTGCGGCCGGCTGGGCAGTGCGGCCGGCTGGGCAGTGCGGCCGGCTGGGCAGTGCGGCCGGCTGGGCAGTGCGGCCGGCTGGGCAGTGCGGCCGGCTGGGCAGTGCGGCCGGCTGGGCAGTGCGGCCGGCTGGGCAGTGCGGCCGGCTGGGCAGTGCGGCCGGCTGGGCAGTGCGGCCGGCTGGGCAGTGCGGCCGGCTGGGCAGTGCGGCCGGCTGGGCAGTGCGGCCGGCTGGGCAGTGCGGCCGGCTGGGCAGTGCGGCCGGCTGGGCAGTGCGGCCGGCTGGGCAGTGCGGCCGGCTGGGCAGTGCGGCCGGCTGGGCAGTGCGGCCGGCTGGGCAGTGCGGCCGGCTGGGCAGTGCGGCCGGCTGGGCAGTGCGGCCGGCTGGGCAGTGCGGCCGGCTGGGCAGTGCGGCCGGCTGGGCAGTGCGGCCGGCTGGGCAGTGCGGCCGGCTGGGCAGTGCGGCCGGCTGGGCAGTGCGGCCGGCTGGGCAGTGCGGCCGGCTGGGCAGTGCGGCCGGCTGGGCAGTGCGGCCGGCTGGGCAGTGCGGCCGGCTGGGCAGTGCGGCCGGCTGGGCAGTGCGGCCGGCTGGGCAGTGCGGCCGGCTGGGCAGTGCGGCCGGCTGGGCAGTGCGGCCGGCTGGGCAGTGCGGCCGGCTGGGCAGTGCGGCCGGCTGGGCAGTGCGGCCGGCTGGGCAGTGCGGCCGGCTGGGCAGTGCGGCCGGCTGGGCAGTGCGGCCGGCTGGGCAGTGCGGCCGGCTGGGCAGTGCGGCCGGCTGGGCAGTGCGGCCGGCTGGGCAGTGCGGCCGGCTGGGCAGTGCGGCCGGCTGGGCAGTGCGGCCGGCTGGGCAGTGCGGCCGGCTGGGCAGTGCGGCCGGCTGGGCAGTGCGGCCGGCTGGGCAGTGCGGCCGGCTGGGCAGTGCGGCCGGCTGGGCAGTGCGGCCGGCTGGGCAGTGCGGCCGGCTGGGCAGTGCGGCTGGCTGCGCTGCGGCTGCGGCCTGATGGCTCTCCGGGTGGTCTCTGGTGCTGTTGGCAGGGCTGTGTGGCCTGGCGGCGGGGCCTCTGCCCGTGCTGTCTTACCCCTTCTCTTGACCTCGGAGAGGCTGGCGCGTGGAGGGCGGTTCCGATGCTGAGTCTCCAGGCGGCTTAGGCCATTCACGATGTCTCTGGGCCTAGGCTCCTCTTGGCATTAGGGTGGTTTCAAATATGTTAGCAGTGGGCCCCTTCTGTCCAGCAGAATCTTACAGAGACCAAATATGCAGAACTCAAGGTGTGGGGAGTCCACCAGGTAACGCCGATAGGGGCAGGTGCCAAGTGTAAATGTGGGGACATGGGACTGTTACACGGAGACATGTAAGACGAGCGTCCTCTGGTTTTTAAAGACCTAACACTGACCTTCCTGATTTCTATAGCTGCAATTCACTTATTGAACCATTTATTTTGAGATAATTGCAGATTGACATGTAGTTGTAGGAAATAATACAGAGAGCACCCTTTACCCCAATGGTAACGGCACAGCTGGGTGTGGCCGCTGGCAGTTGCGTGCAGAACCCTTCCACCCCAAGCCTTCCCCGCTGTTGCCTTTTTATAGCGACACCACCACCCTACCACACCCCCTCCCCACCCTGTGGCACGGCAACCGCTAAGCGGTGATCTTTTCTCCATTTCTATAACTTTGTCATTTCGAGAATGTTGTATGAGTAGGATCATAAAGCCTCCGGCCTGTGGGACTGGATTCTCTGTTGGCCTAATTCACTCCCTCTCCTCATACACATCTCTTCTCCCACCCCTTCCCCCAAAGCCTCTGGATTCCGGACTCTTCCCAGCCCCCGGCCAGTGTCTCTCCCAAAGAAGCACCCGCTCTCTCTTTTCACTCGAGGGTTCCTCTGCTTCTTGGCAGCTAAGACCTGCCTTCAAACCAACACCATCGCCCTCTAAAAGTCCTCCCCCAACTGCCCGATCCACCTGCCGCGGCTCCTCATGCCCTCCTTGCATTTCCCCGAGCCCACTGAGCACACCCATGGCTCGCTCGTGTCTTTTTGTTGCTGAGTAGTAGTCCATGGTCTGGGTGAGC